GTAGCAGAAAAGTACTGGATACTAAAAGTCTCTCAATTCTCAGCATGTTTACATGAGAGCGTTCACATTAGGAACAAAATTCCCTTTCCGTTCGCTTTGTGCACGTGGTCCCTAATGTCAACAGATTATATCTGTCATCATTTACTTTGATTAATATCTCATTAAGGGAATAAATGTGAGGTCTGAACCGCTGTAGGTAGATAGAGCGCAGTGTGCAGAACATTTTTGGTAGAAACCGTTTTTCTTAAAAATGAGTTTTTGATATAGAAAACAAAGTTTTTCTACAACCTTGTTTTTATATGTACCTGAACAGGACCGTTCATATTAGGAACATTTTTTCGCTTTCCGTTCAGATTAAGAACTGAGCCCATAATGTGAACGATTGAAACACTGCTCACATTCCCGATCATAACTCACTAAATTAAGTTCGATTTTTAAAAATTCTTTTACCATTCGATTCAAGAGACTTTACTCTACTCAACAATATAAAACGATCCATTAAACTCTCAGTTAATCGCTATAAAATAAAAACAATTGCATGATGCATTTTTTTCCGTTCAAATTAGGAACATGCACTCTAGTTAGTCTGTGTGATGCTATGATTTATCATGTTATTTTGCTAGTATACATACATGTCTCTGGGGTATTCTCGTTTCGTCGACAAAGCGGCCACTTCAAAGAATATAGATCAGAGAACATCAGAGGCGGGAGGGGCGGTGTGAGAGTGAGTTGTCGACGAAACAAGAATGCTTCATGTCTCTATACAGTAGATATGAAAAGAGAACAAGGCAAATAGCGTCAAATGTAGGGAAATATATTCTAAATAGAGCAAGAAAAAGAAGTATGTGGACGTCTATTTGTACGTAACCTATGGGATTAATGCACAACCGAGAAAAAGAGAAAAACAGTAAAGAAGGAAAGCAGTAAAAGAGTAAAGCAGAAAAAACAGTGTATTTCATAATTTACGAAGAGAATAAGAACAAAATTTTGCCATCCATATTTTTATTGTGTAATCTTGGAAGAATAAATACACGCTGGTAAAAGTATGGTTCATAAGTTGGAAAGTTCCGTGCATATCAACCGGTAACGAATTTTCGAACCAGTGCTCTAACGATAAAAAAATATATTTCTGGAAAGAGCAGAAAAAACTGAATATTCTCCTAAACTTTCAGTGATGGGTATCGTGTACTCTGTAGCAGCTTTTTAAAAACCTTTTTTTATAAACTTAAAAACTTTTATCATATGATATTTCATAGAATATATCAGGTTAGTAATGAGTTATCATTTATTCATTTTTTAAGAAACTAAACTATCATTTGACATTGATGAACAGATATGTTTCTTATAATTTGGTATGAATGAATGTTATTGATATGATATTTGGTATACAAAATTCGACTGCCAAACTCTATATTGCTAGTGCTACGGGTGGTACAATATGCTTGACGATGGCATGCATTTTTGTTTCAGTCTAGCATATTTTAGAAAACTTTGAGTGTCAGCGATGCAAATTCTTTGTCTATATTAGTAATGTTTAAAGTCAAAAACTACAGGCCGATGATGATGCGGATTTTGAGATATTTGTGTTTGATTTTATTATGAAACTGATGCATTTCTAGCGTTACGTATACTTTTGATTCGTATATAATATGTCGATATTTATGTCGGTGTTAGGAAATATTTCGATAAAATATGTCAAAAATTTTGTTTTTCGTTTATTTGAAATATCAATTTTTTTAGTAAAAACTATTCACTGTTACCTGAGATTCTTAATAACTGTTCATCGTAGAGAGATAATTCTTTTTTTGTGTGAAATGAAACTACACGATCTGATCGACTCGAATTTTTTCTATTAGATACATATTCATTGTCTGCTTTCATACTAAAATATGATAAGAGACCGAGGAACATTAATTTTTGTTCATACATGGCATAATTTTGCTAATAGAATGCCACAGTAGAATTGAAAGTCATTTTCGAGGAGCCATATGAAAGATCATTTTCATACTGACGTATCTGTATGTATATGTCTCTACTTACCACATCTTTTCAGTAGTTTATAAATGTTACCACAAAAATTTTATTTTCTGTCTTGAGTCTTGTGAATATTAAGAGCTACTTGTGTTGCAGTTTTTGTGATGTCAGTCAATGACAATCCTCAGTCTGCATCTCATCATATTTGGTTGGATCATTTAACAGATATGAAGTCTTTTGTTTTTTGACTATTATATAACTGTACGGTGTCTCCCAATCACATCGTTGAGACAATTTTCACTTTTCTTTAAAAGTAAACTCATCGTTTTTACGAGGAAGAATGAGAGAGAGAGGTAGTTAGAACAATTCTGAATTATAATCGACATCATTTTCATGCAAGCCACTCTCTAAAATAAAGTACAAGAATGAGCAAGATCATTTTTATTAAATGCGTTTGTGTTCTGTTTTGCGTGCACAACCCTCTTCGACAGCGCGAAATTTTGACGAGGTGGGAGTAGAATTTATGTTTTTGGAAGGATACACAGTTAACAATGAAATCGAAATCCTTGAAAGATCTATTTATTTGTTTATGTTATAGATGTGTTTATCCTTTACTAAATTATAAATTGCGTATACAGAAAATATAAGACTGATGTGTGTTCTACATTATCACCTTTCAATCGAATGAAATGTTTGTGTTTGTTAAAATATATTTTCTATTTGAAAAAATATCTCGCAACAAAAAATAAGAAAAAAGTTTGAATATTTGACAAGAAGTTCTACATTAAACTAATATTTTTCAATCTGAATGAAAATCAAAAACTTTTTCTTAGTTTTTTTTCGCGATATATTTTTTCTTCAAATATGAAGGATATTTACTGGAAATATAATAAATATTTGAACAAACACAAACATTTTATTCGATTGAAAGGTGATAATGTAGAACGCACATCGGTCTTATATTTTCTGTATACACAATTTATAATTTAGCCAATGTGTAATACATATCCACCTTATTCACTGGTATGAATCGCAATCACTTTCATTTTTGTATGCAGCCGAGGAACTACTGAAAACGTTTGTGTACAGAAAATAGCCCAACCGCCTTTTAAGTCTTTTTCATTCTGATTTTTTATTATCCTGACAAAAACCAGAACCAACCTTCAGTCAATCTACGGAAGATACAAAAATAGTTGGACGTTGCTAAGAAAAAACATATGTCCTTTAGGTGTGATGATTGAAGCAACTAAATTATCCTACAGCGAAGCGCTTTTTCCACTGAACATATTTCTTAGTGTCCGAATCATCGGCCATTGAACGTCCCTCTTTTGGCCGGCGGGGTGCTTGTTTTTGAAAATGTAGGCATTTTCTACTGCACGGAACTTTCCAACTTATGAATCACACGTTCGCCGGTTTGTATTTATTCTCCCTATTATTATTACACAATAAAAATATAGATGACGAAATATTTTTCTCCTTTTATTCTTCTTTTGAGACTTTAAAAAAAGACATGTTTTGCGGTGCGAATAGCTTTTATTCATCATCTCTCTATGCATGTATGTTAAATGCAAATACTTGAAGCAGATGCTACTGAAAACTAACCTTGTTTCGTTTTTCTGCTGGACTGTAACGTAGAGAATATTTGGCCTTCTACAATTAAAATTCCAGGAAGAAATTGTTGTCCGTGTAGAAACTTCGCATCCATTAAAATGTCATTTCCGACTTTTAAAAGTGTAAGTTCTTCTTTCGACATATTCTAAGACTTTGCATAATCCAATATTTTGAACGTGTTCTTTCTGGTATTTATGCAAACTGAAGGCGTTTCAAAAGAAGAAGTTCGAAGGTCGCCTTATATCTTAATTAATTCGAAGTTATTCATCAAGCAGCGATTAATATTAGACTAAAAATTGTGAACACTGTTTGCTCAAGTCAAGAGCACGAAGGCACATCTTTTCTTTATTTAGACTGTACACATTCGCGTCACATAGAACAATGTCGAACGAAGAAAAGATACCTTCCGCATTTATTAATCAAGTACGTGAAATGGGTTACCGTTCGTCGACTGTTGATCACGCTTATGATGCAACCCATTCCACCGATCCACAAAAATTACTCGATTGGATATTATCACATGAAAACGAGTTAAAAGACATAAACGATGATCAAATTGATTTAGCTCAGTTGGTTATTGATGAAGTAGTGGAACTCGGTTTTCCACGAGCATCTGCTAAAACAGCACAAGACCAAACGAATTCAAATGACACCCAAACATTAGTCGATTGGATCCTAAATCACGATCAAGACGAACAGTATCCGTTACCAACAACAACAACAACAACAGCTGACAAGTAAGTGTCCGGATAATCAGAAGCACTGACAACCTGAAGCTTCAGAAGTCTGGTGGGATGTCAAAATTGGAAAAAGCGAAACATTTTTATGTTTTGCACTAAAATTTTTGTTTTTTTATTCGTTCTGCTCAGTTTTCTGTGGAAAGCAAATGATTTTTCCACAATGGATGAAGGCCATTTTTAATCTGAAACAAAAAAATCTCTAAATGGAAGGAACGTTACCCAATGATTCTTATTCTTAAGCTTCAACTAATTACATGCTAATATCAGTTCATTTTTCTTCGGTTTCGCCGAACTTCGCTGACTTTTTATTTTCTCAGCAATGATGTCAATCTTTTCTAACTATCATTGATTTAGGCGACAACAACAAGACCTCGACACAACATCTAAAAATAAGGGTGAATCAAAATTACTGCACGATTTATTGAAATTGGGATTTAACACTGACGATATTCAGAAATGTTTCAATGCTTTATATGAAAATGAGAACAAGAAAAGCTGGATATTCAGTCGGAAGAATGACTTAACAGTATCACAATGTATCGATTGGTTAATTGATTCTAGTCGACAAAAAGCTGAATTGAAAGCAAAAGAAATTGATCAGTCGAAAAAACAGCTTCGAATACCATCACCAATAAAATTGAATGGTATTGGTGGAAAGGCCAGTGATGCGTCTTTACCAGCGTCAAATAGTAAACTAAAAGAAATCCATCTTGCTAGTCGTCATAGAAATAATGATGACAACCAACAAGAGTCACCGAAATTGACACATGAAGAAGCACGGATGTTTAGCATTTGTGATAATCTCAAAAAACAAACATGGACACTGGATAATGTTGATCAATTGAATCTTATACAGAAACATATACAAATCGTCTCGAAAATTATTGATGAAGATCATAATAAAGTTCAACGTTATAACGATGAAGACGACGGTACTAGCGATAAGGAAACGTCCGTATATGATCCAATGCAACAACGACGATCAACAACAACAAAGCCTAAAACAAATGCGGCAAATTCAGGAATTGTCACTTTGGCCGATTTGCGAGCACGAGATTATGGATATGAACAACAACAAAAAAAATTGGATTTACCACCAAAATTGATTTATGAGTCGGGTGCTGTACACGAAATTAATTGGGAACCAAGTATCAAAACTGATTTTGATAGGATTGCCATTCAATTTGAGTCAATTCAAAATGAAAGCTACCAAAATCTAACTCGTCGCTTATTAAATGAATGTAATATCGGTAACGATAATAATCTTGCTAAAGTTCGAGCAATATTCGTTTGGATAACAAGTCACATACGATATGATATTCGAACCAGCGACCGCGATAATTCAAAAGATAAAAATGATCAAGATATGGATGAACTATGTGCAATGATCCTTCAAACTTCAACATGTGTTTGTGTCGGTTACGCTGTTCTACTGAAACGCATGTGTCACAGTGTAAATATCCAAGTCGATTATGTGGTAGGTTATACGAAATTAACTAAAGCGTATGTGCATGATTTAAAAACAGTTGATGAAATCAATAAATTTGCTAGACATGCATGGAATATTATCCATCTGAATGGTCAAACATATTTTACCGATCCAACATGGTCAGCTGCACATTGGTCAGGACCACCGTATCCTAAGCTCAAATCATCATTTACGAATACATATTTCTTAGTTTTACCAAGATATTCAATATATCAATTTTTTCCAGAAAATACTCAACATCAACAATTAGATCGACCATGGTCAATAGTCGATTTTACCAACGAGCCATGTTTCTATCCACATTATTTTAGTTCCCAATTCACATTGGAAAACGATAAACGTGATTGGTTTTTTTATCGTTTACCCGTTGATCCACAACAACGAACAAAAACATTTTGTATAACAACAAGAAAATGTAACCGAAATAGTAGATATCACTTGGCGATATTTGGAACAATGTATTGGGCTCGCGATTTGAAACAATTTACATCTGAATATATTGATCGTTTAGATAATACGAATCATTCATATCGTTTACCATCCGCCAATTTTCAAGAAATCAATTTAAATTTAGCTGATCCACATTTGTCGAATAAACGATCGTTGTTCGTAGCTGAATTATCAGATATTCCAATTTATCCATCACAACTCGATGTCACTCAAATTCAATTTGGGTTGTTAAGGATTTATGCAACCGATCAATTGACTGGACGTGGTGAAACAATATTCGAATGTATCTTTGAATTTTAGTGGAAAAAAGCTTACCGGCACAGCCTCTAAAGGGACTATAATGGGAAACTCACATAAACTCTTTTGCTTTATATTGTGTGTGAAGACCCTGTAATTTGAATACATGCTTTTTCCTACACGGTGGCATTAAACGAGAAAAACACCTGTCGTGATTGTAATTAAAAACAAATACAACAAGAAGTGACTATCTGTAGGGGGTCGGGGTGTCTGTATGGAACTCCTATCCAAAAAAAGTCTTATGTACTCTACTTTTCTTAATTGAGTTAACTTGAACCGCGACTGCAGATAAGCACAAGTATCTTCAGAACAACTCTGTTGAGTTTGTGTACGCATGCAGTTCATTTCTCAGATACACACAATTGTGTCAATTCGGCTATTTTCGCAACAACGCGAGGATTGTTTTCATATGGCTCTAGACTAGTGCTCTGTTCGATGCGTACAAAAGTTGAATCATTCCTTTCTCCATTTTCTACGTGTCTAATTTGATATTAACTTTGTAACGTTGTCTCTAACGACACAATCATCTTTTTGTTCTACTTCCTACAAGCCAATAAAGAGCACGTGGGCATGACTTATGTTCTGCCAAAAGCGCATTTTTTTCATAGACAGATGAGTTCCTGTTACCGACAAAAAAATGATCTATAGAAAAAAAGTGAGTTTAAAAAAAGATGAAAAATCCCTGAGGGGGCCCTTCTAAATTTTTGTTAAACGAACTTTTATTTGAAAAACTGACAAACTATACATCATTCGATGCAGTTTCTCAAGTTGATTGCAAATATGCGATTAGTTTTTTCTGAAAGTGCTTCTGTGCAAAAGGAAACCGGAAAACCTGGAAAAGACAGGAAAACCCAGAGTTTTTTGTAAAGCCTCTGACTCAGTCCAGAAGTATATGGGCGATTTTGGTCTAATTGTGTAGACGTGTCAGTTAGAGAACAACGTTCTGCGCAAATGTCAGTTCATTTGGACTTCCGCTAAAGTTAGCGCACTCACTATACTGAACATACCTCTCTCGGGAAACTACTTAGCGTAGAAAGAAAATTATTTTTTTTTCTGAAGTCAAAAGTGCTAGAACAAAATGTGAAGCTGTTAGTTAATTGGATCATATGTCAAGTTGTTTAAATGTGTTGTTTCATTAATTAATACAGTTTATGTTTCTGTAAAAGTATAATTACATACATTCGCTCTCGAGGTATATATTGTTGCTATACTTGGCACAACTACACTTCCATAAGACATTGAGTATCGTTGAAACCGCGAATAATTTATAAGATTTTCGCATCAAATTTGAGTCATTTTAAAAGTTTTTAATCATGTCGAGGTATAAATGGCTGATGTTTGAGCCAAAAGAAAAGTTTGACGAAAGATTAAAACAAATATTAGACACTCGTTTTAAACGTAACAAACCGGGAAGAACATCTCATCATGAGCAATATCCAGAAATATTAATTGAATTACAGAATTTATTAAATACACATAGTAGTTCTGCGCAAGACAGACGACGAGATGATCTCACTCGTTTTAACGGTTTATCGACAGTCGATTGTAACAAGCATATTAAACAATGCTTAATTAAACGATATCCCAAACTCAAAAAAATGTCAAATTCTACAGTTCGTCGTTATTTTTTACCACCAAAAGGACACTTTCACAGTAGCAAATATTACAAAAGAATATATATCCTGCCAAACTTCCGCAAAAACGCAACTCAAAATCGATCCGAGAACATAGCGATTTTTATATGACATGTGCATTAGTGAACTACGTCGAAGAATTATCTAGCTTATACAAGAATGAAGTATTAGCCCTATCGTGAGATAATAAAGCAAAGATACCGCTAGGAGTACCAGCTGTCAGTCAATATGTTCGCAGTCGAAGATTTTACATTGCCGAAAACGTGCCGAATCCACCTGACCACGATTTTCCAAAACATGACATTAGAATCAATCCATCAGTATATGTCGTTTTAAACAACCAACGTAAGCGTTTGTCTAGTATACATCGTCATCCACCGTTTGAATTAAAACTAAAGAAGAGTTCAAGATCGAGTGATTCTCGACTGTTCTCAAATTTAAAAGAAGACAATATCCCGGTAAGTCAGTATTATGCTTTATTGGGCTTCTTTAGTTTT